CAGACAGTTTATCATGATCACTTTCCTTCCCTACCAGACCCACCCCCCCTCCCCTACCAGACCCACCCCTCCTCCCCTACCAGACCCACCCCTTCCTCCCCTACCCACCCAACTTTGTGTCTTTTTTTAACCTACCAAACACAGTTGGTTTTATCCATATTAGTGTGCATTTTTAAAAGAATGTAGGATTTTTCTTGCCAACCTTATACCTATACTTTGATTTACACTTCTAGTTCATCCTACGTATGTCATCCTAGCCTCGTTCCGTTGGAAGACATTAGCATTTGTTTAATAGAAACAGTACCTGGTAGGATGACTCTCGAAGTTCTGAACACATAGTTTCAGATTTATCAAAATTTAAAGTATAGGTTGTAGATACAGCTTGGTGTTAGGGCATTGCCTCGCATGTACAAGACCATGGGTTCAATTCCAGTATAACCAAAGCCAAAAAAAAAGTACACATTTCCATTTATGTGCATGTATACAAGATATAGAGAAATTTTCCCCAACTATTTACAGTACTGACTTCTGCCCCACCCCCACCCCCAAATGAGAGGCCGCAGGCTTTCTGCTGTCCCCCTCTGGAGGTGCTCACCCTACTTCCTGAGATTGTAGGTTCGCTGTCACTCCAGCCTTTGCATTGCAGTCTGACACAGCTCTGGGCTCAGAGGGAGTCTGTTCTGCGTGCTAGAGGCTCATCCTTGAATATAAGTGTGCAGGCCTTAACTCAAGTTGACTTTCCAATCTAACTCTATTCTATTAATATTTCAGCAATGTCTTCAATGATCAGAAATCAAGAAAAGAGGATTCAGAAAGTGAAAGACCAGGAGAAAATGTTACTAAAATGATGTCATCGCTCGCCCGCTCTCTACAAAGGGCTGGCACCCGATGAGCTGTGCTGTTACTTATAATTAGTGCCTGGACGTTTTCTTTTTATGTGAAAATTTAATAAAAGATTCCCTGTCCCATAAATAAACTTTTTGAATGCTCTCATAGCAAAATTTTCAACACTACTAGCTAGATTTGAGAGTAGTCATATATTATAATGTATTAATTTATGCTAATTCTAGCACATTGGTATAATTTTTAAAATTATTGTACTGGTTCTGAGATAGAGGCATTTTTTTCAGCTTAAATTCTGAGGAGGAAAAGAGTGTTCATGTGCTGTAAAGGGGTGCAGTGTCAAGAGCAGAAGGACAAACTCCAGCATGCTGGACAAACACCAGCCTTCTTTGGTGACCTTGAACTCATTGTTCTGTCAACATCGGTGATCAACAAAACCAATCAAAACTTTTAGAAACCTCTCTTCTTGCATAAAACTAAAGAAAGACAATACTTTGTTACTATTTAACAAATGAGTAGGTAAGTTCTAGGTTGAATATAGTCTAGCCTAATATTTAATAAAGTGCAGGTATTCATATGCAGACCAAATATAATGAGACAAGGACACTTGCAAAAGTGTTTTACTTGTGCCAAAAGTTAGACACAATGTGGCAAAAAGTGTATTTCTCCACTCCCTAGTACACAGTTGTCATGGAGACACAGCTGCCTAGTTGGAGACCCTGTTGCAGCCCCATGTCCCTCACCTCTGGGGGTGGTCACCTGACCAGTTCTCACAGGTGGAATGGAACATGAACAACTCTGTGTCTTCAGGTCCAAGTGCTAACACTGCATTCATGCTTTTTTTTTTCAAGTCATTTCCCTCCCACAAATTGGATGCAGAGGATGGAGAGGGCCCTTAGGATGGTGGCACCACCAGGCAGAAGAGGGTCTGGGGGACTCCACAAGGAGGGGAGCTGCAGCCCAGATGACCAACAGTTGACTGATACAGGGGCAAGAAGTCTGGGTGGTGTTCCTACCTTCTTCCATTTCGCCAGCAGGAGCCCTGACCAGGCACAGGCAGTGACTAGGAGGGCGCGCGTGCTCTCAAGAAACTCATGTTGCTCTCAATGTCAGTGAGCACTCCAAGCACATCTGACTTGATAGTTAAAATAAATGTGTATTTAATTATAAGAAATATGTGTGTATATACATAGCATAATATTCCTTCAGTCAGTTGGCTTTAATGGAAGATTAACTTTTATTTCATTGGGTAATAAATAGAATTCTGGAGATTATGTTTAAATTGCTTTACTTCATAGGGATACTTGAGCATTGTAAAGTAATGGCCAGTGCCTTCCGCGGACCTCATTATATAGAAGCAGAATGTCTGAATTTCATCTCAAAAGAGCCATAATCCCAAAGCTCGCAAACATCCTGCTATGCACTTCCTGATGCTACTTTCATTTGGATCTATGTTTTTGTCATCCAGAATGAAATACTGTCTTGCCAATAGATACTTTACTGTTTTTTAACACATAAAAACTTCTTTTATCTGAGCACTTGGAAGGTGGAAGTAGGAAAATCAGGGCTTGAAAGTCATCCTTAGCTGTAGATCAAGTTCCAGGCCAGTTGGGGCTATCCTGTCTCAAATCAACAAAGAGCTGGGATGTAGCTCGGTTGTAGAGTGCGTGTCTGGTACTGCACATACTGGATGTGGTGGTCCATGCCTGTAATCCCAGCACTTGAGAAGTGGAGGAAGGAGGAGCAGTTTCACCGGATCCTTGTCTACACAGTGAATTTTCGGATAGGCCTAAGCTACAAGAAACCCTGCTCCCAAATTTTAATCTTTAAATACCAGCTTGCTGAATTCCCTTCTAGGCAAAGTTTTAAAAAATATTTAAAACTTTCTCCAAAAGGGAAACAGACTTCACATGTCATCTGCTGTCGTGTTTGACGTTTGCTTTTCTCTGTATGTAAAATATACCGCTATTTTATATCTAGGTTATGGTGCTAAGATTGAAACAAGTAATTCAGACATTTAATAAAGATAATACAACTCAGGATTTATTATTCTGTTATAACTTAAAGCTTAATAATTATTTCTTCTCAAAGCAAAGGTTTTCTTCTGTATCATAGTCCTATAGAGATTCTCACTCATGGGTACGAAGGGAGAGTGAGGAGGCAGAAAAACTTCTCTAGGGCAGCCCATCAGTTGAGACCTGGTAGGAGTGGGATGGGGATGTGAACAGAGGTGCTCCAGCAGGGTACTGTGGGTAATGGATGCATGCACCCTTTGCTGGAACCAGTCTCGGACCTGTAACTACCAGTCCTCAAAGAAGCATAGTAAACCGTTCAAGTCACCTCACCACCTCACCCTCACTCCCACCCTCACTCCACTTCCTGGGTGACTGAGCAACTCTGATTAGGCTTTAAACCATTAAGACAAAGACACATCTGCTAATTCTGCACCTATCCTCGGGGTGTTTAAAGTGGAACAAAAGCTAAAGTAGAGTCTTCCGGTGTCACTCAGAACGGACTGGTCACAGTTTCAGATGGTGTAAATGTAAACAATGCTGCTATAGCTGTATCTAAGGAGGCTGACTGTCATCTCCCTACCCTAAGAGCTCCTACAGGCTCCACCTTGTACTTGTGCAGTTGGTTAGTTTCTCCTTGCCATAGTCCATACCTCAATCTCAGCCCAACCAACTACCCAGGGACAATCAATCCCTCAAGTAATGTGCCAGCACAAACCAGTCAGTGCAACAAGGGAAAAGTCCCAGCTCCCGGGAAGCATTTCTGCATGCATTCATCTTCCTATACTTTGGACAAAAGCCACACTAGCAACTCTGAAGAACTCTGATGGCTACAAATGGAATCACACTGCCTTTAAATTATGCAGCGTGCTCTACCGCCTTAGCCTCTCACACATTCCGCTGCACCCTCGGGGTGCTTTGCACAGCAATTCAGTGAATCCCCCACCACCCATGAACCACTTTATCCTCACGGCCAGTCTGCAGGAATCTATTGCTGCATTCTTCCCAGCGAGTAACTTCCCTGTTCTCTACCAACACAAACTTCCACTCCACCACTGTGTCCGCAGGCAGGAAGACAGAATGAGACCACAGCCCGTCCTTGCAATAGTGGAGTGGGATGTATGTGGTCCAGCCCCCAAGATTCTCATGGTCTCCAGTTACTGCAACGAACTGCACATTGTTGCTTGTGGTGTAGTGCACCTGAAACTGGATGCGGACCTGCTGATGGTCCAGAGACACCGCCTTCCTGTCTTCATCCCAGCCTCTTCCTCCCACAAGAGTACTTCTGCCATCATCCATTCCCTGACTTAGGCTCTCGAGACTGTCACCCAAACCAACATCCCCCCACGATGAGTGCCTAGACACCACTTCCCAGTCCTCGGGGCCTGCCGGGTCCTGACTGACCGAAGGTACAGGACCGGCTGGTTTGGCTCTGTCCCTGAGCTGGCAGCTGGAGGGTAGCTTCTCCACGTTGCCCCCAGCTGTTTCTTCTCCTATGCTGGGTCTCCATTCTCCTGTGTGAGCTTCCGGCCTTTGATTCCTTGACTCTTCTGGGTTGGCCCTGGAGTGCGTGTCTGGACTCTTTCCAGCAAGAACATACTCTCTGGCATTGCCCCAGTCTGCTCCAGCATTCTGCAGTCTCTGTGTTTCCAGCAGGTTACCAAGCTCTTTGGTCTCGGAAATCAAATGTCCATTGCTTTCTTGGAGCTGCTCTGAGAAAGGAAAGTGTGGTAACATTAGGTGGGGCTCACAAAGGAAAACTGAGAAAATCGATTGCTGTTATCTTCGTTTCTATGTATAGTCCAGGTTCCTGTAGAACTCACGTGCCATCTGCACCTTCCCAACACTGCTTTAAGAGCATGCGTGGAGAGCCCACAATGAAAACAGGCAGGAAGTCTCAGTGCACACCCTGAGAGACAATGAAGTGGCAAGCTGCAAAGTCTCCCACAGGCCAGACCAAGTTGGCAGGGGTCCAAAGTTAAATCACTTGGCTCCTGTCATTAAAAAAGGAAAAAAAAAACTGCTGTCCAGGGGTTGGGCAAGAGCTTAGCAGAAGGCCCAGCCACATGCACGGTGGCTTTTGTGGGATAAAGGACTGCATGCTACTGGGCACCTTAGTGTACATCTGTGCTCCCTGGAAGTGAGTGCAGGCCAGGGGCCACCTCTGGAAGGCAGAGCAGTCAGGAATAGGGTGAGGTGGGGGTGGGAGAACTTGAGGGGAGAGAAATCTCCTTAAAGACACATGAGGTTTTCCCACCCCCTGCTCCACTACACACTTTAAAAAACTGTTCTTAAAAACCCACAGTCCAAGTCCACTAAAGACTTGGTTTTTTCCAGGCTGCCTCAACAGTTCTTCAAGCCTGACTCCTACACTCAGCTCCGGCACCCTTGCTTCATTTGTGAGCTTCGGAGTGAGATGTCAACGAATGTTGCTCTCAATTCCCAATTTTCAGCTTAAAACATGAGGCTGGCCTTCGGGAACAGAAGAAAACAGACGAACCGTTTATGGAAAATCAGTCGTGGGAAAGAGTCTCACAAATGACCACCACTAAAAATAACCTCTGCTGGGCGACGACAGTTTGAAAAAAAAAAAAGGCGCAGGAAGCTAACTAAGGCTTTGTGCCGGTGTGCAATGCCTGGTGCGGGGTCTCTTGAATGTCGCTCTAAACTTATATGACAGTCTTCATCAGAGTTTGGTCCCCCAATAGGCCGCCGGGGCTGCTGTAAGTGCACACACAGCTAGCGCACAGCCCGACTGCTGTGATTTTCATGACCCACATCTAAGCTGAAATTTACTTTCCTGAAAGAACTATCCAGACAGTAGCAAGGGAGTGCTCAACGCTCACTTGCCCTAAACTCAGATCTAACGAGGGGTGTGGGGTGTCAGGGCTTGAAGCTAGGGGACTGAGACTCCGAGAATGTCCCTTCCAGCTCCATCGGAGACTGAAGAGAGTTGTGAGAAGCCCCCACAAACCAGTCTCGCGCACTGCGCCAAGCGCCGCCAGGCGGAGGAACCGGTGCCGGCTGGAGCGGCAGGAGCTGGGCGCGGCCTCTGGAGGAACCGCTTGCCTTCTCCAGGACACTACAGCCCGGGAAGGCGACAGATCCGAGGAGGGTTCAGTCCCAGGCCGGGGAAGTTGGTCCACCAGAACCCACCTGGAGAACTTTAGGTGGTTTTCATTTCCCCTTCCCTAATGAACTTCAGAACACGGGCACGTGTTCCCCGAGCCCAGGGGAGGAAGAATACCTGGTTTGGAGACCAGCACCCGCTCGGAAGGTCCAGTGCTCAGGCCGCCACTGTCACCACCACCCGGACCGTCTCCCGGAGCCGCAGCCTGCCCTGGAGGTGCGTCCTTCTGCGGCTCCGCACCCCCGTCTTTCCCCGGGGCCCCAGGGTCGCCCCGCAGCAGCCAGAAGATAAGCGCTCCCGCCAGACCCCCGCCGACCAGCAGGGCGGACCAAACGGCGCCCATGGCTGAGAGGCTGCGGGACTGAGAGGCTGCGGGAGACTACGGGGCCCCGGACCAGGGCTCGGCTCACTCACACGGGCCACACCCACCCAGCCCGCCCCAGCCTTTTACGGGTCCACGGTGGCCAGCCCAGACCGGCCCCGCCCCACGCCCCGCCCCGCAGCGCGGAGCGCACTGAATTACCATCGAACCCCCAATTCTCCCCCCACCCCAGGCTTCCCACGCTAGGGTCCCGCTCCACTGGATGCCGCCCCAGCACCGAGCCAGGGCAAGGGACTCCGGGAGCTTCGAGGCGCCAGAAGGCTTAGGGACTAGGACTCTTGTTTGGCCGTTAGTACAATCTGGGGTGGAGAGAACGGAGGGTTGGGGAGGTGAAGGGGGGGGGCGTGGAGGCCTAGAGGAAGCGCCACTCCCGCCCCCAGCTGCACCTCGCCTTCCCGAACTCCTATGTAATATCTACTTAAAGGCCCACCACCTCAACCAATCTCTTTCCTTCTCGAATCTCCTACTCCCTCCTTTTTAAAAAGAAGGGTCCAGACTAGCCTAGAACTTTTTATCTATCTAAGGCTGGTCTCAAACTCGATCGAGATCCTCCTGATTCCGCTTCTCAAGTGCAGAGTTACACTTTTTGCCTCGTGTGTTACTGCACAATGCGCATCCACCCATCTGAACTGGATATTGTACCGGGATGGAGCCCCTGCAAGTAAATCTTATCAAGCATCGTATTTTCAAAGTGCTTTGTGAATGAACTTTAAATGATCCTCACGCAATAGAAGTCTTATGAAGGAAGAGTTTGCTTATGTGCACACTTACTTCAGGTTAATGAGCCAAGGAATTTTTGTTTCAGGGGACTTTCCCTTAAACCCATCCTCCCACATCCCTCGACTAAG